AGCAAGCATGGGTTGCTGAAGACCAATTCTACCCCGGATCTTCGCGGGTGGTAATGTAATGTAATGTAATGTAATGTAATGTAATGTAATGTAATGTGATGTAATGTGATGTAATGTGATGTGATGTGATGTGATGTGATGTGATGTGATGTGATGTGATCTGATGTGATGTGATGTGATGTGATGTGATGTAATGTAATGTAATGTAATGTTAGTGAAAATAGTCGAAATATAAACAAACCAAACAATCATATGTTGGGCCAGAAATCCAGTCACACAATCGGAATTATTTTTTTATTTTGTTGAAACTGAAACGTTAAGCTACGCAACCGTTCAAGGTCTTCTCCTAATCAATATGATCGCACATATGTAAATAGATTCAGTGAGAGATTGGTGATCTGTTTCTATATCGAGATTTTGGCTCGGACTGGAATCAAAAGAAGTGAATTTGGCCAGAACGTTTACCTGAAGCTTCAAGTTATCGGTGATCTGATATCGTCCAATAATTGTCAAGTAGCAAATTTTCTTCCACTGATTTACTCACAAGAAATAGAGATAATCAACAAGTCTGAATGACAAGAGTGATGACTTCAACTTTCCAAAAGTCAACATTCATTGTATGTAAGCATTCCATCAGCTCCATCATTTGGTGTCCATATTTCACAATGCTCTTTCTATGAAAATTTCAAAGAGCGAGATCCGACGCTTGCGCAAAAGTTGTTTGATCAGGATTTCAAAAAACTTACAAAAAATTGTATGTTACACACGTGAAAGATATTTCCAAATTTGACGCATTAGGGAACAAAAGATGCAATTCATTGTGTTTACCTGTGCTTTAAGTTTCCGTGTTTGTTAAGTTGAACATTTGACTTGCCCTTGCATGTGTTTGTGACGAGTGCCACCACTGGAAGGCAGGATTCACACTCCTTTTCGCGACCACCTGGTATTATCACTATTTGATAGTGATTCATAAATACAGGGGGGCACGGGTGGCCCAGTCGTCTAAGGCGCAGCGATTCGCAGCCCAGAGTTGCTTCCCTTAGGCATGATTGTCCCTACCTATGATTGTGGGTTCGAATCCCGGTTCGCCCCGATTATGGATCTAGGTTTGTCAGCACCATACCCGTGCTCGTTGTTTTCACCGAAGTGTTAAACGTCTGAGACCTGCATCACTTGGGGATTTCCTCCCACATTAAGCTGACACGCCGTGATATAACTGGAATACTGTTAAAAGCGGCGTTAAACCCAACTCACTCACTCACTCACTCACTCACTCACTCACTCATAAATACGCGGCGCCGATTGTACTTGGCATTGTCTCGTAACTTTATCGTCCATGTTGTTTGTACAAACGCCTTATGAGCAGAGAGCGATGAAACATGTTTCTAAAGAGATCTAAAGAGCATCAAACGAACCAATCAACACAGAGAAAGAGAATTCTTTACAAAACATCAAAACAAAACCTAAACTGACGAGCAAAATAATGTACACCTTTGATAGCGTTTTAGTTTTCAAGTGAATACTTGCGTTTACCAAAAAAATGAATGACTATAGATTCTGAAATACTTAAATAGAATAGTATCACACAAAAACAATCAAGATAAAAATGTTTGTAAAAACTATAAGATGTTTTTACATACTGTGTTAAAGATAACACGTTTTTTATCTTTAAGACTCGTGAAGACCCGTGGTAGAATAGGTCTTCAGCAACCCATGCTTGCCATAAAATGCGATTATGCTTGTCGTAAGAGGCGACTAACGGGATCGGGTGGTCAGGCTCGCTGACTTGGTTGATGCATGTCATCGATCCCAATAACGTGGATCCAAGCTCATGATATCAATCACTGGATTGTCTGGTCCAGACTCGATTATTTACAGACCGCCGTCATATAGCTGGAATATTGCTGAGTGCTGCGTTAAACAACAAACAAAAAACAAAACAAATGTTATCCTTAAAAAACAGAAAAAAACACACGATCACATTTCTACACATTACGTTACAAGGAACTTCATTTACCATGTAATCATTCCACAAAACTAAGTACTAACACATTACTAATAGAAAAAACTAGTTCTACATTCTCCACCATCCTTTGTTCAGTTCAAGTGTCACCAGTGTATATTTTACCTGGCCATAAAGCCAGGACATTATTCTGTCACTGCAGTTCTGATTACACCTCAATGTCAAGACTAAAGGTAAGCAAGTCCACAAAAAACACCCTTGTCCATCCCGGTGACCATTTATGTTGAGGAATGACATGGAGGAGGTCAAATGAAGGTCATTGCGCTATGGCGGACCGTGGGGTGAAAACGGCACGTAAAGGAAGGTATATATAAAGCCATGCCTCCCTCACTCAGCCAGACGTTATCGCAGAGTCACTCACCATGTGCGCCTCCGTTTTTCAAATGTTCGTATCCAGTTTGGCTGCATGTATTCTGATATCAGGTAAGACCTTGCTTCAACACTGTTGTTCTTGCGTTTGTAACGGAACCTATGTGACTATCGGTACTGTAATTGGTACAATACTTAGGTTGACCTGTGCACTGGAAGTTAATTCCATGCGCAATTTAACAGGGACGGAGTTGCGTTCCTTAGTTCATCAGGATCCGCTGATCGAATTCCCGACCTTTTGTCACCTCCGTCACTGGCATCAACGCTAGGATGTAAAAGTAATACTACGGTATCACTCTTACTCAGATCTTCAGATTGAAAATATATATTGGACACTGTGACCAGATATTGATACACCAGGCCATAAAAAGCAATATCGTGTTTCCTTAAGGCACGTGGGGGCTGTCGGGTAGCCTGGTGGTGAAAGCGTTCGCACGTCACGCAGAAGACCCGGGTTCGATTCCCGTAATGGGTACAATGTGAAGCCCATTTCTGGTGTCCCCCGCCGTGATATTGCTGGAATATTGCTAAAAGCGGCGTAAAACCATACTCACTCACTCATTTAAAGCACGGGGTATTTGTTCACAGTTTTGTGTTGTATGTTAACATAGAATAACACATGTCTTCCTTTAAGGTAACGTGAGTTGATGAATAGTGTCTGACTTTTATCTGTGATACAAGTATTTAACCTAGGCTAGCATTCTACAACCGACTCAAGTACACGAATCTAGGCACACACGTCGCTAGATTTATTAGTGCAATAATCTTGAACTCAACGATAAAGTACTGTTCTACCTCACCATCGCTTTCGTGACATTTGACTGACATGAAGAGTACAAATGAAACCTGTCAAAGCGAGAAATGTTTATACAAAATATTTCATATTGAATGTTGTAAATAAATCACCTACCCGTGGCGATCCGGGTAGAGAATAGGTCTTCAGCAATCCATGCTTGCTGTGGTGGCGACTATGCTTGTCGTAAGAGGCGATTAACGGGATCGTTTGGCCAGGCTCGCTGACTTGATTGATGCATGTCATCGTATCCCAATTGCGTGGATCGAAGCTCATGATGTCAATCACTGGACTGTCTGGTCATGACTCGATTATTTACAGACTGCCGTCATCTAGCTGGAATATTGCTGAGTGAGGCGTAAAACAATACACTAACAAAGAAACAAATGAATGAATAACCAGGAACGTTTTTGCTCGTTTCATATCGTACTATTGTTTCAAAATTATGTGGACCGCCTCCGTGGTCTAGTGGTGGAGCGTCCGCCCGGAGAGCGGAAGGTTCGAGGTTCGATCTCCGGCTGCGTCATACCTAAAGACGTTAAAAGATGGTACTTGTTGTTACCCTGTCTGGCGCTCGGCATTAAGGGGCTAAAACAAGGACTGGTCGGCTCGGAGTCAATATACTATACGTTCTTGTAACTGGACCATTGCACATGTTGTATATCTTAAGATGAGGCTGAAATGATCTCTTTGGGAGTCATAATGGACAGTGATCTTACACAAGTCAATGAATTGCAATAATGTTTTCGAAAAAATATTACATGTGGATAGTACTTCAATAATATTCTACTGTATACATATTCAAAATTAAATAGAGATGTTCATTACAATTTACATGTAAGTCATAATTCACCAGTTTGAAAAGCTGAATACTTGTGTCGAGACGTACTAGATCGACGCTAATGATGTCAATGACTGGATTGTCTGGTCTAGGCTCGATTACCTACAGGCCACCGTCATATTGCTGGATTATTGCTGAGTGCGGCGTTGAACAACAAACAAACAAACAAACAAACAAAGATATACACACATGTACCAACTGTTTCAGGGTGCGGCGCATTCTCGTCCTCCACCCCACCACCTCTCCCCCGGTCGGGGCAAGCTGCCTCGGGGTCTACGGGGACAGGGTACAACGGGGTCGCACAGCATGGCGTCCCGCCTAGCGGAACATCCGGCACAGGGCATTCTGGGACACATCATACTGGACCGCAAACTACTGGAGGTACAGGGTACAACGGGGTCGCACAGCATGGCGTCCCGCCTAGCGGAACATCCGGCACAGGGCATTCTGGGACACATCATACTGGACCGCAAACTACTGGAGGTACAGGGTACAACGGGGTCGCACAGCATGGCGTCCCGCCTAGCGGAACATCCGGCACAGGGCATTCTGGGACACATCATGCTGGACCTCAAACTACTGGCGGTGACGCCCCCTGGCGGCTGATAGTTGGTGGCCGATATAATGGAATGTATACTAACGATAAGCCTGTTAGTAGTTCAGCAGGTGGTTATCAACAGACCAATGCTAACGGTCAGTCAATGGTCAATGGGTATGCCGGCGGACCTGCAAACATGGGTTACCAAGGCACGCACGCTAACGGACAACGAGTTTCATTTTCAAATGGGATCTTAAACGGACTGAATCCCTTGCAAGGCTACACGGGCAATGTTCCTCTGGGTATATATCCTAACGGGCAACCAAGAACAACAAATGCTGTTTTCCAGCATAATCTTAAGCTCTTGGGCAACATCTTACCCGCGTTATATGCAAACAAACAGGGTACCAGTTACACAAGACCATATCAAACTGGCATGAGGACAAGCGTCCAGACAGGGACAGCTCGGGTCGGAAGTTACACAAACGCACAAAGTCAGCCATCTGGCGCAAGTTCTCAATCATCGCCGGCTGGGTCAAGCACGAACGGGACATCTGCCCCAGCTGCTTCTAACTCTACAGCAACACCACCGGCTCGAAGCGAATCCTACAACGCAACAAGGGTAGCCGCTCTTCTCAAAGCACTGGTGGCTCCATCTGCTCCTCTCCTGCCCTACGCTGTGGTTGATCCAATTCCGTATGGAGCTGCCCGGCTTCCAGGCCAACAGGCACCAGTGGAGCTGGTAGGTCCGCGTCAACAAACAGTACCAGCGCCCGCAAACAGTCTTACAAAGCTGGGACGTGCTCTGTTATCGGGGTACGTTCAAAGCTCTCCACCGAAGGCAAAACCACCCGTAGCAGCACCACCGGCTTACAATCCGAGCTACCCCACCTCAAAAGGCCTGGGAGCTAATATGATCAACACCCCTCAACAATCAAGCTTGTATGGTCCTCTCGGCAGCGTTGCTGTCCCTGGAAATCAACTCAACACCATCAACCCCAGCAGACTTGCCCAGCTCCGCTCCCTGTCTGCATCTCAGCTCCAACAAACCATCATGATGAAGCTGATTGACGTTGGGGCCAAGATTAAGGCCGCTAGGTCGCTGGACTGCAAGACCGTGGCTTCTCTGAAGGGACGGCGGGGACGTACCTCCCGCTCCATGAGCTGCGATGACGACACCTGCCCCGTCTCCATGTCCTGCAAGACGGTGTTTCACGTTGCCTTCTGCTGCCCCCAGGGAGGTAAGTCATTTTAAGGGCGACAAGTGGAATACAAACGCGGCCTTCCCCGGCTCCTACCTTCACGGGAGAAAAAGGCACTGTTTTAGAGCCCCCAAATTCTATCTCTAGCACAAGCTCCAGATAACTGAAATGTATCGATGTGCTTCCGCTGACGAGTTTACTAATTCATTCATTAACTTTACGTCAGGTTAATCTTGTAATCGTAATTGTACGAATATATCGAGTTATAGTACCCGTAACCGTACGAATGTATCTAGTTTTAGTACCCGTAACGGTACGGATTTATCTAGTTATAGTACTCGTAACCGTACGAATATATCGAGTTATAGTACCCGTAACCGTACAGATTTATCTAGTTATAGTACTCGTAACCGTACGAATTTATCTGGTTTTAAAACCCGTAACCGTTCGAATTTATCTAGTTATAGTACCCGTAACCGTACAGATTTATCTAGTTATAGTACTCGTAACCGTACGAATTTATCTGGTTTTAGAACCCGTAACCATACGAATTTATATAGTTTTAGTACTCGTAACCGTACGAATATATCGAGTGATAGTACCCGTAACCATACGAATATATCGAGTCATGGTACCCGTAACCGTACGAATGTATCTAGTTATAGTACCCGTAACCGTACGAATTTATCTAGTTATAGTACTCGTAACCGTACGAATATATCGAGTGATAGTACCCGTAACCATACGAATATATCGAGTCATGGTACCCGTAACCGTACGAATGTATCTAGTTATAGTACCCGTAACCGTACGAATTTATCTAGTTAAAGTACCCGAAACCATACGAAATTATCTATTTATAGTATCCGTAACCATACGAAATTATCGAGTTATAGTTCCCGTAACCGTACGAATTTATCTAGTTATAGTACCTGTAACCGTACGAATTCATCTAGTTATAGTACCAGTAACCGTACGAATTTGTCTAGTTTTAGTACCCGTAACCGTACGGATTTATCTAGTTATAGTACTCGTAACCGTACGAATTTATATAGTTTTAGTACCCGTAACCGTACGAATTTTTCTAGTTTTAGTACCCGTAACCGTACGAATTTATATAGTTTTAGTACTCGTAACCGTACGAATATATCGAGTGATAGTACCCATAACCATACGAAATTATCTAGTTAAAGTACCCGAAACCATACGAAATTATCTATTTATAGTATCCGTAACCATACGAAATGATCGAGTTATAGTTCCCGTAACCGTACGAATTTATCTAGGTATAGTACCCGTAACCATACAAATTTATCTAGTTATAGTACTCGTAACCGTACGAATTTATCTAGTTATAGCACCAGTAACCGTACAAATTTATCTAGTTATAGCACCAGTAACCGTACAAATTTATCTAGTTAAAGTACCCGAAACCATACGAAATTATCTATTTATAGTACCCGAAACCATACGAAATTATCTATTTATAGTATCCGAAACCATACGAAATTATCGAGTTATAGTACCCGTAACCATACGAATTTATCTAGTTATAGTACCCGTAACCGTACGAATTTATATAGTTTTAGTACCCGTAACCGTACGAATTTATCTAGGTATAGTACCCGTAACCGTACGAATTTATCTAGTTAAAGTACCCGAAACCATACGAATTTATCTAGTTATAGCACCAGTAACCGTACAAATTTATCTAGTTTTAGTACCTGTAACCGTACGAATTTATCTAGTTATAGTACCCGTAACCGTACGAATTTATCTAGTTATAGTACCCGTAACCGTACGAATTTATCTAGTTATAGTACCCGTAACCGTACGAATTTATCTAGTTATAGTACCCGTAACCGTACGAATTTATCTAGTTATAGTACCCGTAACCGTACGAATTTATCTAGTTATAGTACCCGTAACCGTACGAATTTATCTAGTTATAGTACCCGTAACCGTACGAATTTATCTAGTTATAGTACCCGTAACCGTACGAATTTATCTAGTTGTAGTACCCGTAACCGTACGAATTTATCTAGTTATAGTACCCGTAACCGTACGAATTTATCTAGTTATAGTACCCGTAACCGTACGAATTTATCTAGTTATAGTACCCGTAACCGTACGAATTTATCTAGTTATAGTACCCGTAACTGTACGAATTTATCTTGTTATAGTACCCGTAACCTTACGAATTTATCTTGTTATAGTACCCATAACCGTACGATTTTATTGAGTGATAGCACCCGTAACCGTACGAATATATTGAATAATAGTGATATCTTCAGATAGGAGTATATGCGATGTTACGGGAGATGCCCCAAGAGGTACGCTTTCTTCCTGCGGCGGTGGGGTAGTCTAGATGTTAAAGCGTTCGCTTGTCACGCTGAATACTGGTTAGATTCCCCTCATGGGTACAATGTGAGAAGCCCATTTCTTGGTTCCTCCGCCCTGAGATGATGTCTCTGTTGAAGTGAGTGAGTGAGTGAGTTTGGTTTTACGCCGCTTTTAGCAATATTCCAGCAATATCACGGCGGGGTCTCTGTTTAATTTGAGATTGAATACGAAGTATAAACGTTCATATTGTTGCCCTTAGGTGTGAGTGTTTCTTTCTGATTGATCCGAAGTTCTGATTGGTGGAAGTTTGATGTGTTTGTGTTTTGTTCCAGTGACATACAGGATGATCCAGAGAGAAGCCCAGAACGAAATAACGAACATCTTGTATGACAACTAGTGACGGGCCTTCTTTCTTTCTGAGTCGTGCAGACTGGTTCTGGCGAAAAGGGGTGGTTTGCTCCCTTGTTGTGTTAGGATTTCAAACAGCGAAATTACGATATTGTTACCTACCTCAGGTAAAACACCTTGGCCATTGTTTTTTAATAGTCAATCTCATTAAAATCAGACCTTAGTTCTCGCTACCACTAAACAAAGATCTGAAGAAATCCCATTAGGGGTCACGTCAGAACGAACTTTCATCCGACCAATCAGTGCGTCGCTTACCAGATTATGAAAGTGACAGTCGGAATGTGATTTCTAATCATGCAATCTCGAAAACTTTAACATGGGGTATTCCGAACGATAGTTATGGGTTTGACGACTGAATCCTTACAATCTAGACCATCTATTAGCGAATCCAGAATGTATTTTTGTTCAGGTTTCAAATTTGTAATCGTGAATTTGCAAAATATGTCTCGAAGCGTTGTCGCCAATTTGAAAATAGTGTCGTAAAGCGCGAGAAAGCTGCCTTCTGATTGGTCATTCCATTGGTCGGTCAAAATTCGCGCAAGGTCGGTCTGACGTGACCCGTAATGGGATGTCCTCAGATCTTTGTTTAGCGGTAGCGAGAACTAAGATCTGCTTTTAATGAGATTGTTTTAATAGTACACATCACTTTACGTTTCCGAAATTTAACACAGTTGTCAGATTCCTCTTCTTTAATACTTTGCCCATAATTGTTCCGTGGACAATTTCAAGAGATGTGAATATTCTGTGTGTGAGTATTAACTACACCGTCCTGTGTTTGGATTTTCACAAGTTGTATGTACGGCAGGGTATCAAATAAAGAAAAGAACGTGAATGTTGTTGTTCTATAATTCTAAACAACTAGAGTGAGTGAGTGAGTGAGTTGGGTTTAACGCCGCTTTTAACAGTATTCCAGTTATATCGCGGCGTGTCAGCTTAATGTGGGAGGAAAGCCCCAAGTGATGCAGGTCTCCGACGTTTACCACTTCGCTGAAACCCACGAGCACGGGTATGGTGCTGACAAACCTAGAAACATAATCGGGGCGAACCGGGATTCGAACCCACAATCACAGGTTTCTGGCGTGCCCAAGGGACGCAACTCTGCACATCATGACGCCTTAGACGACTGGGCCACCCGTGCCCCCCTAAACAACTAGACGTGATAATGCAATCAAAAGAGGCAACACATCCCTTGCCATGACCATGTGACATATCTTCATGTATTTATATCACTCTACATATATATCGCGGTAAGAGAAGTGACACACTCACCATGTCACATTTGGAAATGTCCTCAACAATATAAGTCTCTTTAATCTTCGCCAGGGTCTTTAATCTGGTAACTCATATCAAACTACTGTATTTCCTCCACTAGAGGGGCGGTCGGGTAGTCTAGTGGTTAAGACATTCGCTCGTCACGTTAAAAACCCGGGTTCGATTCCCGACATGGGTACAATGTGAGAAGCCAATTACTGGTGTCCCCCGCCGTGATATTGCTGGAATATAAGCGGCGTAAAACCATACTCACTCACTCGCGAGAGCCGTTGGCCCGGCGTGTATTAGAGACCTGGCTTGTATTAGAGACCTGGCTTGTATTAGAGACCTGGCTTGTATTAGAGACCTTGTATTAGAGACCTTGTATTAGAGACCTGGCTTGTATTAGAGAACTTGCTTGTATTAGAGACCTGGCTTGTGTTAGAGACCTGGCTTGTGTTAGAGACCTGGCTTGTATTAGAGACCTGGCTTGTGTTAGAGACCTGGCTTGTGTTAGAGACCTGGCTTGTGTTAGAGACCTGGCTTGTGTTAGAGACCTGGCTTGTATAAGAGACCTGGCTTGTATTAGAGACCTGGCTTGTTTTAGAGACCTGGCTTGTATTACAGACCTGGCTTGTCTTAGAGACCTGGCTTGTATTAGAGACCTGACTTGTGTTAGAGACCTGGCTTGTCTTAGAGACCTGGCTTGTATTAGAGACCTGGCTTGTATTAGAGACCTGGCTTGTGTTAGAGACCTGGCTTGTATTAGAGACCTGGCTTGTGTTAGAAACCTGGCTTGTATAAGAGACCTGGCTTGTATTAGAGACCTGGCTTGTATTAGAGACCTGACTTTTGTTAGAGACCTGGCTTGTATTAGAGACCTGGCTTGTATTAGAGACCTGACTTGTGTTAGAGACCTGGCTTGTATTAGAGACCTGGCTTGTATTAGAGACCTGACTTGTGTTAGAGACCTGGCTTGTATTAGAGACCCAGCGCGTGTTAGAAATATACATACGTTCTACAGTTCCCATGTGTGATCGATCGGCAGCCATTTTTTTATGAATCGATGTGTAGGCTATCCTTGTAATCATATCCAAGGTTTGTGTGTGAAAAGGAAGAACATATTTATAAGGGGTTTCCGTAGAAAAAAAAGGAAACCTCTTTTCAAACTATCAGAATCGAGCATTCTTCAATGTCATGATAGAATATGTTTTAAATTTGGAATAATACTAAACAATACCCACTTGAAGAAAACCACAAAAGAAACGAAACCTCGTATGTGTTTCTTTGACACCTAGGAGGCATGGGTGGCCCAGTCGTCTAAGGCGCCGTGATTCGCTGTGCAGAGTTGCGTCCCTTGGGCACGCCAGAAACCTATGATTGTTGGTTAGAATCCCGGTTTGCCCCAATTATGTTTCTAGGTTTGTCAGCACCATACCCGTGCTCGTGGGTGTCACCGAAGTGGTAAACGTCTGAGACCTGCATCACTTCGGGCTTTCCTCCCACATTAAGCTGACACGCCGTGATATAACTGGAATACTGTTAAATGCGGTGTTAATCCCAACTCACTCACTCACTCACTCACTCACTCACTCACTAACTGCGGGCTTTCCTCTCACATTAAGCTGACACGCCGGGATAAAACTGGAATAATGTTAAATGCGGCGTTAAACCCAACTCACTCACTCACTCACTCACTCACTCACTCACTCACTCACTCACTCGAGTTACCTCCTTTCTGATAATCAGTTGGTTTAGTTAGACCTAAATACAGTAAACAACGTTTATAACGAACACGCTTATAATGGACTGACGGATATAGCGAGCTGTTCTTTTGGTCCTGGTCATTTGCCATATATTTAATCATATGAAGTGATGGTTAAAACAAACACACTCATAACGAAAAACGGATATAGCGAACTCACCTTCTGGGTCCCGTGTGTAGTCTGTCAACGATAATGCTCCTCACCAACTGCCTATCTAAACATCCACGGCCACGCACAGCTGTTCAAAGCGTCAATGAACAACCGGAAGCTACTGATTTACTCTTAAGCACTGACAACTTGTCCTCAAATTACACCCTCAATTAACACGCGATAATACTGTTAAAAGCGTCGTTAAACCCAACTCACTCACTCACTCACTCACTCACTCACTCACTCACTCACTCACTCATACACTCACTCACTCACTCACTCACTCACTCACTCATACACTCACTCACTCACTCACTCATACACTCACTCACTCACTCACTCACTCACTCACTCACTCACTCACCACTCATACACTCACTCACTCACTCACTCACTCACTCACTCACTCACTCACTCACTCACTCACTCACTCACTCACTCACTCATACACTCACTCACTCACTCACTCACTCACTCACTCATAAACTCATAAACTCACTCACTCACTCACTCACTCACTCACTCACTCACTCACTCACTCACTCACTCACTCATACACTCACTCACTCACTCACTCACTCACTCACTCACTCACTCACTCACTCACTCACTCACTCACTCACTCACTCATACACTCACTCACTCACTCACTCACTCACTCACTCACTCATACACTCACTCACTCACTCTGACTTGTCTTTACCTCCGAAAAAACTTTAATTCATCTTACCAACAATTGCTTAAAAACGCGTGTATGCGCGTGCATCTAAAAGCGTATAAGTAACTCCAGTTTCCGAAACATTGCTCGCGATCAAAAACAGGAAGGCCTAGTTACGTGTGTAACTTCATCCCACGCGTCCATCATAGTGTGTTTGATGCTGATGATACATCACTGATGAAGCGTTGGAGTAGGGTGCTAGTCCTCTGCCTCCCTCCTACATCACCTGGCTCCCCAGAGACCGGACACATCAAGGATGAAGTGCTGGTGAGGACACGATGGCTTGACCCAAATTCATACAGACCTATAACTATATTGATGTTCTTCGGCAAACTTTTCACCCGAATATTAAATAACAGATTAAGTAAATTTGTTGATGATAATACGTTTTTAAATGCTGCGCATGCAAGTAATGAAAATATCAAAAAGGAAATTATATTCCTTTTATAGACCTCACTAAAGCATTCGATAAAGTATGGAGAGTTGATCTATGGCATAAACTTCAAAAACATGGAATTAAAGGAAGGTTTTTCACCCTGGTCAAGAATATATACCACAACATCAAATCCAATTTTAGCATTAATAATCAGTTCTCTGACGATTTCATTTGTCATGATGGTGTCCGACAGGGTGAAAACCTTTCCCCTCTCCTGTTTACATTATTGATCTTGAACAATATCTGCTCAACAATGAATGTAAAGGTGTTGACCTTGGAAATCTAAACGATACTTACCTGATTGTATTTTGCCAGCTCCTAATACTGCTCTGTGCTGATGACACTGTTATAATAAGTGATAACTCTTAAGACCTATAAAAATCGTTAAATCCGGTTTTTTTATGGAAGCTAAATGTTAATCTAACAAAAACAAAAGTTGTGATCTTTGGTGCCGGACCTGCAAACAAGTCGAAACTATGTTTCACTATTGGCCCGACCCTGTCGAAACTGTAGATTCATATAACCTAAGACTACACAGGAATATACGATGTATACAAGCAGTCAAATCTCTGTCAGAAAACGCAACTAAAGCCATGTTCAGCCTACTCATGAAGTCCCGAAATGTTTCTTTGCCATTACATTGCCTCTTATCTTCATTTGATGCATCG